TGCCTGTCCATTACTTTTTGAACCACTAACTGCTTTTTTATAACGCTAGACTTTAAGAAGAACCTTCAGCTGAAGTTTCCTTCTAGACGGAATTGGAGGAAAGTAAGGATATGAAAGATAATTCTGCTGACATTTATATAGACGGGTCCAAAATGGACTGTGGTATGGGTCCATTTCTCAAAATGCAGTATGCCTCTCTTTCGCTCCTACTACCCAACTTTGCTACCAGCTTCCAAGCGGATACTCTTAAGAATACAAAAAGCATATTTTTCCCGACAGCCGGCAGTTATTGCATAAACATCATCAATAACCAATTCAAAAGTGGTCAGAGTATGCAGAGGTAGCGCAAAATCTGTTTTTAGAACTAATTGGGTTCTGGCCCAATGCTCAATCAATGCCGCTGTGAGTACCAACCAATCAAACACAAGCTATCGCTCCACACAGTTTGTGTGGCCCCAGTAAAAAATAAAATTTTTGGTTTCATTTCATCTGGGACTGCCGTGAATATTCTATCGCTACACCGATGAGATAAGAAGTTGTAGAGTTACAGAAGTTACAGTACAGTTACAGAAGTCACAGTCACAGACAGCCGATAACGGTGTCTAACGGGGGGTTAGTGCTAAACAGACATGGCGCAAATGTCCCTTAGAGACCCAAACGAGAATCAAAATTTCTGAAAACTATAGCAGCATGATTTGGTAGCGATCAAATATTTTGATGACAGTAGATTCGGGAGTCTGTCATAATGGACAAGGTGAACTTAATCTTTTAACGTCCTGAAAAAAGTAATTTGGTATTTAATTCTGTCTCTGTTCTAGGATTTTATTATCTGTAGAAATTTCACACGATGTCAGGTACCTAAAGGTTACTTGGACACCAATTGTTGTTTTTTGTTTTTTTTTTTTTGAAAGAACTCGTAAAAATTATACGTTAAGTGAGCGGTAAAATCACTCTATTGATTTACTGGAGAGTAAAGCTGGCAGTATACAACCAGAAAAAAGTCAGCTAAAAATATTTCTCCCAACACATGATTTGGTTATAGTTACATTATTTGTTAAAGTTACCAAATCATGCGTTGAGAGAATTATTTTTTGCTGACTTTTTTCTGGGTGTACAACAAATGTGAGAGAGCAGAAACAAATTTGTTTCATAGAAAAATACTTGGACCGCCCTTAACTTTCAAAAACTAACTTTTTCTCAGTAAATAAGCAATGCCAAAAGTCTCTACTGGTGTATTTTGTATAAGTATAAGTTAGTGTTTAACTATCTATTTCACATCGCAAGTGTGCACACAAAAAAGTCAAATCAAATGATTATCTTGAATTTGGGTTGAGTGAAACATGTGAAAAGTTTGTTTTATAGCTTAATAGTAGGGCATGGTTTTCTTGTTTAACATCTGGTTGTGTTTAAGTACAAGTTACGAGAACTTTTAGTTCGGGTCGATTCAGTTTTTGTTTACTTATGTAGTTATACCAGAATGTTTTCACATGATTCAGTTTATTTATGTTTTTTGTTTTTAGGACGACCATGGTTTTTAAAGTTGAAACTACATTTAGAGTTGATTTTTGTTTTGGGTTTAGTTTGGATTTTAGTTTTTTTTTTTGGTAAATACTTGCTTAAATTTTTGTGTTTTATATTTTATGTTTTTTGAGTTTGATTTTAGATTTTGTGGTTTTTGTTTCATAGGATTTAAATGATTCAAGTGAGCTCTTTTATTTAGTGAGTGAGTGCTTGAGTGAATGAGTGAGTTAGTGAGTGAGATGATCTGTCGAACTATTGAGATTTACAGTTATAAATACAAGTACAGTTTGAAGTTACAGTTAAAGTGTTAGTTACAGTTACGTATACAGTCACATACAAATACAGAGTTACGTATACGTGTACAATTATGTATTAGTATGTAGGAGTGTGTGCGTGTTTTGTGTACAAAAGTGGACAAAGAACACTTAGAGCGAAATGAAGTACATATACAAATATACAAATATAAATAGTACGAGTAGTATTTAGGTATAAACTTTTGCCTTGTTCTCATTGTTTCTTATTTTTCTTGTTCTCCTGGCTTTGGTTTTTACTTTTTACATTTACATTATTTTTATTGCATTAGTATTTTCCTATGAATATCTAATTTTAGTTATGTATATCAAATTAATTAAAATACAATTAGGTTTAACAATGACACAATCACAAATCGTTTTCTTTTTAATTTTCGCGCGAAAGTTAATTAAACTTTTCTGTTTTTTTTTTCTTCTTTTATTTGTTATGAATTTTTCAATCACACTTTCTTTCATTTTATTTGGTGGCTTTTTTGTTGAGGTTTTCTAAAGGGATACAACAGCTTGATTTTCTCTATTGTATTCCTTTCCTGGCTATTGCACTCAACTTATTAATTTTTTATATGAGTATGTATTCTAACCTGTTATTTTTGTTGCGTGGGTATTGAATTCATATCGAGCCCTAACCGCCAAAATAACGTAAGCGACGTTTTTTTCAAAATTTTATTTTTGATTCAGAAATGCATCTAGATGCTCTAGGAATATTTCTGCATCAAAAAGAAAATTTTGAAAAAAATGTCGCTTACGTTATTTTGGCGGTTAGGGCTCGATATGTTTTTGATAAGTGTTTTTTTGTTTTCCTTTTTGTTTTTTGTAATGTATTATGTGTGCCCAGCGCTGTGAAATAAAACTTATTGAAATGCTGTTGACTGAAGATTATCGTTCGATCGCATTTTATTGCGATAGAGGCGTGAGTGTGTTGGTATGTACATATAATGTTAGCGGTTTTCATTGGTTCATTGAAATCGTAAAAAAAATCTGAAACATTTTACGGAAAGCTTGAAAAAAAAAATCAGTCTCTTTTCAGATCAGTTCTATTAAGTAAAAGTGCGACTGTACAATTTAGCGAGTGGCTTTTGTCTGCTCGTCTAAAAGCTTAGAATCCAATAGCACTATGAACGGTTTAAAATCTGGGCGCGCCTGAACTGTAAAAAATTTAGTGAACGTGAACACTGGGCATTAAAACAATAATATAAAAGTGTGTGTGTGTGTGTGTGTGTGAACAGGGTTTATTGTGTATACATTAGGGTAGTCCTTAAAAGGCATCATCTAAAGTTTGTATGGGACAGCCCTTAATTTGTTCTAAAACCAAAATAAAGACATCCATGATGACTTCAAAATTTAAAAATAATTTTTAGGTGTTGCTACCAGGGTTGATATTTTTTTCTAAATTTGAAAAAATCAAAAAAGTCTTGACTTTGAGTATTTGAATTTTCTTTCCAACAACGAATTAAATACATTGCCAGTTTGGCAAAAAAAAGAAGCCATACTCCGAAAACACACAAAATAATACCTTATCTTAAAAACCAGCTTATCGAGGAAGTTGAAAAAGTCCCCTTTGAGGTCAGGAAGTGCATACTAACTCTCCCTTATACATGAGTCACTTGATATTATTTAAGATAATTACACAGAACTACAAAAAAAATCTTCTTCTTCTATTGCCAATACCAGGTATGTTTCGGGTCTCTGTAATCGAATCTTAAGTCCGTTTTCTCCATCACGAAAAGGTTTTTTCTACCCCCAAAAAAACTGCCGAAATCTATGCGAGATTTTATAGTTTTTATAAATACTCATTGACGGATTTACTTTAATCCTGGCAGTGACGACTTCTTTTGGTCGCTGATTGCGAATGTGATTTTTAAAATCTAAAATGGCGGATCGAATACGACGGTCGAACATTAAAAAAAAGTTATTGAATGTCAAAGGAACCCAAAATCATTAATTTTTGTAACGAATTTAAATAATTGTTGGATATCGGTTTCGGAAATCAGGTTTCAGATTCGTAGTCAGCAACTTATACATATAGGTACTAAGTAGGAATGAATTTTGTTTTTTAAAGTTTTCGAACTCATATTCATAATCAGCGACCCAAACAACTTTCAGATACCAATAAAAATTCAATAATTTTTTTTAAAATTCGACCACCAATTTGGAACAATACCGTATTAGGAGCTTGTTTTGCATGATGCATGCATTTGGCATTGACTAAGAATTTTTAAGAATATTTTTCAACAAAATGTAAAATTTACCAGATTTAAATTTTTTCAAGCCTTGGTAGCGACCCCTAATATAGATATGAGTTGGGTAAGCACTGCGACCAGTAGGTCTATTGTGCCCTTAGCTCATCACAAGACGTTTACACACTGTCTAAAAATTTTTAAATTTTCTTTAAATTCTTTATTTGTATATAAACCAAAAGAAAAACTGAATTTTCATATTTTTAAGAACCAACCTAGTATATACTACATATTTGCATATGTACATATGTGCAAAAGTAACAACATAATAAAAATTAAATATTTAAATTAACTTTTTGTACAAAAGTACGAGCAAAATACTTGCAACAAAATATAACAAAAACATATTTTAATTGTAATCAATAAAAATTTACAGTTACTTTGGTTTTATGTCCTCACACGGCTTATTGCACGGTTATTTTGATATTGAAAAATTGTTTTGTGGTGAATTATGATTTTGTTTTAAGTTAATTTTGGATTATTTTGACATAACAACGAAGTGTTCGCACTTTTTGCTTCTGCTTTTGCTTACCACTTTTTGTCTACATATTTGTAATTATTGACAGTAACAGTTATTAAATTTAGCTCAATTTTCGCGCAATCGCATCAATTGTGTGTGTGTGTGTGATTTTTATTTGTGTACATAGTTAATATTTACTCCTAAATTTACATAAATACCTATTTTGTAAATATGTATCATATAATACAAATATATATTTGTGTTCGCATGTAAATATTGAAACATTTGCGCAAAATTATCGAATGTAATTGTATTTTTTTTAGATTTTTTTTTACCTTCTGCTGTTTTTGCTGCCACCAGTGTTGCATTTATCTATTCAATGAGCCCATGTTCAACACTTTTTTACTTAAAATTTTTCACCATTTGCTCTAATACTTACATAAATGTACATACATATGTGTAAAAAATATGTTCAATATATTCGCTTAAATTTAAAAAATATATATTCACTCACCGCATTTAAATTTAATAATAAGTACAATCAATATCATAACAATAAATGTGCGCGTGTGTGTGTGCATATGTTTTTTTTTTTGTGAGCGCGTTTTAACTCGTTCACGTTTATGTAACCCAACCACACACATCGCACATATTTATCAACTACATTCATCAATAAAAGAGTAAAATTTACCCCGCCCAATTTAATTAATTTCATTAAACATATATTTTTTTCTGAAATTTTTTTTTGCACACATATTTTTTTATGTGCTTTTTCGTTTTGATAAACCTTTGCCTAATTGCAAGTAGCGCTTGCAACTGCATGCGCGTGCGCATCTCTCATTTACATTCACATTCATGTCTTTCGTTTTTTTTTTTTATGTCTAGCTAATTAGAGTTTAAAACGCTCAATTAATTTGATAGATTTTTCTATTTTTTTTTTTCTTATAAACTGTCTATGTACATACATTTTTGGTATTTTTCGAGCGCCATATCCTTATTGCTGCATTTCCGCTGTCACTTCTGCTTAGCTGGCTCCTAAATTTTAACATGCCTATATATATTTGCCAAGATCCTCATGAAAATCCTGTAAGTACGCCAGCAATTGGGGGAAAGAAGGTCGTTGTTTCGGATCCTCGAGCCAGCAGCAGGACATCACTGTGAAACTGCAAGTGAAAAATTAAAAAATGGAAACGATGAAACTAATGTTAGTAGCAATATAGGGGTGATACAAAAAAAAGTTAAAAAAAAGTGTTTATTCCACGCGCGACGGCCGTGAAATTTCTTCTTAATAATGAACAATTATCTTAATTTTAATTTAAGTCACCATCTCTATAATCTTACTATTAGTTGTAATTTTAATCTTAATCTAATTCTTAATTTTAATATTAATCGCAATCGAAATCTTAGTCTCAACCTCAATCTGAATATTAATCTCAATCTTACTTTTAATATTAATTATAATCTTAATCTCAATCTCAATCTTTATATCAATCTCAATATCAATCTTAGTTTAAACCTCAAATTGAATCTTAAAGCATAGACAGACGGCAACGTTGATCCGGATTAACTTCGCAATTGATCTGTGCAAAATTTTGCCTCGACAGATGGCAGTAACGCGGATTTACGAGCCGCGATGTCGTAGGTTCAAGTCCACGGGCAGTGGAATATTCATTATTTTTATTTTTTTCATTCAATCATAACTTCTATATTTTTTAAAGTTATTTTGACTTTTTTAGCAAAATAAATTCTAAAAATTTAATTTAACTAATAATAAAAAAATGTGAAATAAAATAAAACAAACGAAAATAAAATAAAATAAAATTAAATATATAAGTAAAAAAAAAAATAAATAAAAAATTAAGAACAAAATTTTTTTGGCAATCGCGCCAACCGGGGATCAAACCTGGGACCTGCAGGCTTGTAGTACGCAGCCTTCACCACTCGGCTACCGCGGATGAAGTGGCTGGCTGTTTTGTTTGCTCAGGGAGCGGAGAACATAAAGAAAATTCAAAACTACAGTCACCGTATTAATTAAAATAAGTTCTTATTAGATTTTAATTGGATTCCTATCTGAATTAGTACGGTGACTGCATTATCGATAAAAAGGTATGTACATATATGTCCATGCTAGTTTTGTACTTTCTCTGTACTTTTATGCTCTCTGAGTTTCCGTCAGTGTTGTCATCTAAAATTCCCTTGATCCGAATTATGTTTGGGAATTAAATCTAGGACTTAATCCGGATCAACTGCAGTTAATTCCCGAGATAATTCCGAATTAACGAGTTGATCCGGATCAACGCTGCCGTCTATTTAAGCTTTTAATCTTACTGCTAATCTTAGTCACGATCTCAATCTATCTCAACTTTAATCGTGTCCAACCACCCCAGCATTCCCTCCGTGCCTTCTTTTGTCGCTTTTTCGTTTCAATTCAGCTTGAAATTAGACCCCAATTCACTTAAAAAAAAATAATAATAATAACTTCGAGGAATGGTTACGGACTCTGTTGCAGAGTGATTCCGGGGGTAATTTAACCCTTCCTTCAACAAAAATAACACGTATTTCCTTGATAGTGTCAAAAATTATACTTTTAAATAATAGCCCTTTAATTTTCAATTCATTTTCCCATTCTGAGAAATTATTACAATTGGTTGCATTAAATTTTCTAATAATTTTTTCAATAGATGTTTACATACCGGGTGTTAAAATAGTATCCGATCGCCCTCTATCTCAGAAAGTAGTTATTAGAGAACAAAGGACGAGGGCAAGGTTCTAGGATTCCGTGCCCGTAATCTCATAGTGTGCTATGATTTCACCTTGAAATTGAACGTCATTTCAAGGTCAAGTCCCTTTTTTACAAATGCAAACGCCAAATTTTTATTGCGGATTCGAAAAGAGACGAAAATGTTACGTCCAAATATGTCAAGACCAGGTTAGAAGGACATTTCAAGTTCAAATAAATTTGTTTCCATATTCCCTATTTTCATGGAATTTCTTTATCCCTCAAACATTTGGAATAAGAACAAGATTCTAAAATTATGGCCTACATTGCTCTAAGGGCCGTTTTCATTAAGTCTGGGTAAGACTAATCCCCGGTTAGACATCGTCATCAACGTCATATCAATATAACATTGAGTCGGTAACATCGATAATGATGTTTAACTGGGGATTAGTGTTAACCAGATACGGTGGAAAGGGCTTTAACCCAATCTCTTAGGCTTGTCTTTTAAATAAACCATACACCATCTTTAGCATGCAGTACTTACAATTCATCGGGACAGTTGATGGGTTGACCCAGACGAAAACCATCCGAGAGGTATGCACTCAACTCAAAAATGTCCACCTCCTCAAAAGGTGTAAGCGCCAGTGTGGCCAACTCCCAGAAGAGTACACCCAAAGTCCAAATGTCACTATAAGTGTTGAAGTACTTCTTCTGTAATGATTCCAAAGCCATCCACTTGAGCGGACGATTTTCGTTGTCACCCAGGCAGTGATAGTCGTCAGGAAAGAGATCGCGCGACAGAGCGCTATCACAAATTTTCACATAGCAGTCCATATCCAGACTAGAAGCAATAAACAAACGAAATGAAGTTTGATGAGTGAAAAAAGCACTTCTTATAAATGAGAGTTCCAAAGGAAATGCGCAAAGGCTAAATAAATACTCACTAGCAATTTCGCGTTGCAACATCGCGATGAATAATACCCATCGAGTGCAGATGCGCCAAACCTTTAGTCACATGCAAACCGAACTCGACTAGTTGGCGGGTGCTTAGCGGCGAATTGAGTTCACGCGATTTCTGCAAGTATCTGCAAAAAGAAGAAAACAAAGTTAGCATTATTATCTTACGCGCAACGCAAGCGCAGCAGCCGCTCTACTCACATTTTCAGATTGCCCTTGGACGGATAGGGATATGCAATCTCAGGTGGTCCTGGTAGCTCGGTGTTCGCCAGCAAAGGCGTCAATATGTTCGGATGACACACGCCAATAAGCGTCGAGGCCTCCTGCAACAGACATGCAACTTGCGTCAGCGAGGCACCATCGACGACTGTTTTGATAATCACATCGCAGGCATCACCTAAATTGCCGGCATAGATGCGTCCATAGGTGCCTTCCTTGATTAGATGCTGGCACATAAGTGTACCCGGTTGTACATTAGGAATGCGACGGAGTTTCTCCTTGGGATCACTACCACTGCCAGCAGAGGAGCTAGCGCCGCCAAAGACGCTGCCATTGCCGCCGCCGCCGCCGCCGCCGCCACCGCCGCGACTGCTCTTCGGTGTGGACATGCTGTAGACCTGGAATGCGAGAAATGGAGTGCCGAGCTTAAGTAAGAGGAAAGAAAAACAAAGAAAATTATGTGTGTGAGGGTCGTAAATAGAGTATACGAGTCTGTATGTCTGTGTGTGTGTGTGTGTGTGTGTATGATGACCGCAGGCATTATTCATCATGACAAGCGGATTTCATGCGGATGTGCCGATAGTTAGGAGTAGATAATCAATTTGTTGCAGTTGTGGAGTAGTGTGGGCGTTCACCTACACACGCATATGAGCTGGTCGTCAGTATGCACGTATCTGTGTGTTGTTTGCGGAACACTTGGAAAAGTTGCAATGTGTATTTAATATCCAAGTTAATGAACTTGTACTTCAAACAGGCATAGCGCTTTCGTCTAAGCCACCGGATAAACAAATGTCCTACGTCATTATCAGCAGTAAATTGTGTCGGACTGTGTGGCAGCAACACATCAAACACAGTGCGGTTACGCCTATATAAACAATCGATTGTGGTAGACATACGGCCATGTGGAAACATACATAAATACATATGTACATACTAGAGATGGGCACGGGCCTAAATATTCATACGCGATCCCGCCAATCCCGAAATTCAATTTTTAAGTCCCGAACCCGCCCATTCCGACGTTTTTCAGAATTGTACCGCGGGTCCCGCGAGTCCCGAAATCCATAACTAAGATTAAGTTACATGTCACAAAATAATTTTAAATATTAAAAAAAAAAAATAATGAAAGATTTGGCATTTTCGGATATTTTTTCGCTTTGCTGTTCGTTTTCATCTCAATAAAACATAAAAAGTGCATATTTAATAAAACCTTTTTAAAAAAAATTTTCTAAAGTTTCGGCGGTTGCAAAATGTTTAAATACCTTCAGGATACCGCCCATTCCGGCCATTTTGAAATCAGTCCCGTGGGACCCGATATCCCGTGCCCATATCTGGTACATACATACATATTTATATGTACAAACCCAGCAGGAGAAATAACTAACAAGAAGTTCTTCCAAAATGGAAAAATTTACGCCAAATAGCCTCATCAGTCGGCGTGAATAAAAATTGGCTAAATAGCTTCGGACTCGAGCTAGCCGAGTAAAACACAGAATCAATACTCGTATCGAGTCGTAAGAAGTTAGAGATGGTAGCGCTTAAAATTTGTGATGACATCAACTTGAGGAAACCCACATTTAAATACTTAGGAGTGGTATTAGACAAGCGTCTTCCTTTCAACGCCCACTTCAGCTATGTGAGAGTGAAAGCAACTTCAACCATCAGCGAATAATGCTTAACACGCGAGAGCCGAAACAGACCAGGCACGACAGCCGGTTCTACGTACCGGAATGACTCGGGTTTCACCCGACCAAGGGCTGTTGTTTCGGCGATCTAACCCCGTTTAGGTCGGCGAAGTATCTCAGAAGTTGTCCGTCCATAGGGCAGCATTCACTACGCATTCTCCTACTCAGGGCTGGCATCGAGTCAAACCCTGGGCCAGAAATATACACCTGCTGTGTATGCCGAAGACGTTTACACCACAACTCCACCTCAGTCAAGTGTAATGCCTGCGAGGGGTGGAGTCACCTCAGGGTCTGCTCGGGACTACGGACTCACAGACAGTGGACCACGTCGTACGTGGCCCCCTGTTGCTCAAATAGAGCAGCCTCCACGGCAACCCATAGTCCGCCCGTGCAGCCCCACACACTCACACAGCAACCACACACAGTCGCCACAACACAACAACATACCACAGCCACCACAGACCACATAACACACACAACTGCACCACCACCCACACGCCGCCGCCAACAACTCTTGGTTCCCCCTACAATCTGCACGGTATGTCAGACCAGAATATTCCGTAATGTGACATCAGTCAAGTGCAACACCTGCCTTGGCTGGTGCCACTTTAGGGCATGTTCAGGTCTGCGCACCACGCGAGATTGGACGGGGAATTTCGAGGGCCCGTGTTGCGCTGCCCGGTCGCTGGCATCAATTGCGACGCGCCCCAATACCACCACAGGGAGGCAATCACCCCAGCAGCACACACAGCCAACGGCGGCAAGAACTTACACCTCACTCACACCCCACATCACAACACGTCTCCCGAACCACATGAAGCTCCTCCAATTCAACTGTAACGGGCTACAGAGCAAGATTGAGGAGATAACCGCCTTTATGTGTCGGCATGGTATATTAATAGCTGCGGTCCAAGAGACGAAGTTGCACAGCAATTCAACTTTGTTGAATTGTGCCGGGTACAACGTGCACCGTCGAGATCGCGAGCGAGATAATGGTGGTGGCTTAGCGTTCATAACGCACCACACCGTGCAGTATCGTCTTATCGAAGCAGACATCGACCGCAGGGATACCACCCTAGAATGTCAGGGCATCGCTATCCGGTCAGGCGATGTCGAGCTCGAAATATTTAATATATACATACCCCCTGTCACCTGCTGCCCGGCAGGATATCACCCTGATATAGGTGCGCTCCTCAGAGGTGAAAACCGTATGGTAGTAGGTGACTTTAATGCGCACCACGATCTTTGGCACTCAAGCCTGTCAAACGATCGTAGGGGAACAGACTTGGCTGAGCAGATAGACGATTCGACATTCTGCACAATGAACGACGACGCACCCACCAGGATTATGGGTAACTGCAGTAGCTCGCCAGACATCACAATAGTCAGCGCTGGTCTGATAAACAGCATAACGTGGCGACCTATGCTGACTCTAGCATCAGACCATCTACCCATAGTCATCTCGATTGATAAACCAACCGACTTTGCCTCCGCCAAACACCGGACCTATGTCAACTTTTCTAAAGCTGACTGGAAAGGTTACGCGGAGTTTACTGAAAACACCTTCACATCGCTCCCCACACCAACCGACGTCCACCTCGGTGAACGTAAGTTCCGCAGGGCTATCACTGCTGCTGCAGCCCGCTTCATACCGGCAGGGTGCATATCGGACCCACGTCCAAACTTCCCTGCCGAAGCGGCTGTTTTAGCAAACGAGCGTGATAGCCTTCGTCAGGCCGATCCCGGAGATCCCCGTATCAGGGATCTCAACGCGGAGATTCGGCAACTTGTAAACGTACATAAGCGGAAGAAGTGGGAGGAGCATCTGAAGACTTGCAACTTCACCTCTGGTGTGAGCAAGCTTTGGTCAACCGTGAGGTCATTGTCTAACCCGACGAAGCACGACGACAGAGTCGAAATTTCCTTCGGCGACTATGCTTCGTCGGACCCGGAGCGATGCGCGAGCTATTTTAGCCGGCAGTTCATACTGCATCCTCCGGTGGACAAAGCCAAGCGTCGAGTGACCAGAAGGCTGCACAAACTGCCAACAAATTGTGCCCCCCTTGCTTTCACTTGCGGTGAAGTTCAGGTGGCCATCGGGAAGGCGAAAGCCTCCAAAGCCATGGGTCCCGACGGTATATGCACGCTGATGCTGAAAAATTTGGGTCCTGCGGGGGTAGCGTACCTAACGGAGGTCCTCAATTTGTCAATGGCCACTCTCATCATCCCAGACATCTGGAAGGTGGGGAGAGTGGTCCCACTGCTCAAACCGGGGAAACCTGCAAACAAAGGAGATTCGTATCGTCCGATTACACTCCTTTCCCCGGTAGCGAAGACACTCGAGGCCTTGCTACTCCCGTACTTCACAAATCACCTGACCCCATCGAAGCATCAGCATGGTTTCCGTAAAGTGCACAGCACAACAACAGCACTTAACGCCATAAACACTCAGATAACTCGTGGCCTTAACCGTAACCGTCCCTGTGAGAGAACGATTCTAGTAGCGTTGGACTTGTCAAAGGCGTTTGACACCGTCTGCCATTCCACGCTACTAGAAGATATAGAGGCCTCCTCTCTCCCACAGAGGCTCAAACGGTGGTCGGCAAATTATCTAAGTGGTCGACATTCGTCGGTAATGTTCAGAGACAAAACGAGTAAGCAGCGAAAAATAAAACAGGGGGTTCCTCAGGGTGGTGTCCTTTCCCCGCTACTGTTTAACTTTTATATTTCAAAGCTCCCTCAACCACCAGAGGGAGTCTCGATTGTCTCCTATGCCGACGATTGCTCGATTATGGCGACTGGGAATGGAATTGATGACCTGTGTTCGAAAGTAAACGGCTATCTCTCCGAACTTTCTCGCTTCTTCACTGCAAAGTGTCTAGCCCTCTCCCCTACGAAATCCTCCGCGACCCTGTTCACAACCTGGACGAAGGAGGTCAGGCTACCGCTGGGGATTCACGTCGATGACACACCAATTCCGACGGTGAATAACCCCAAAATACTCGGAGTAACTTTCGACAGCCTGCTCTCCTTCTCTGCGCACTCAACCGCTATTGTCAATAAAGTACAGAGCCGCAACAAGGTCCTCAAGTCGCTAGCCGGCAGTACTTGGGGCAAAGACAAAGAAACGTTGCTGGCAACATACAAGGCAATAGGCCGGCCGGTTCTGAACTACGCAGCGCCAGTGTGGTCGCCTGGGACTAGTAGGACGCAGTGGACGAAGCTACAGACCGCACAAAACACCGCACTGAGGACAGCGACGGGATGCCTCCTGATGACGCCTGAACACCACCTGCACGGCGAGGCGCAAATGCTCCCGGTGAAGGAGCACAATATAATGCTCTGCAAGCAGTTCCTGATTGGGACCCACAGAAGTGGCCACCCGTGCAGACAGCTGCTTGCAGAGGAGCCCTCGCCTAGGCACGTCAGGAGGCATCTATATGAACTAACGGACGAAGTCCAGAGGTTCATTAAGCAACCTCTGGACCCGACAGCCTACAGACAGGCCTTGAACGGCATTCACAGGGACTCAGTCTCGAGTTATGTAGACTCTAGACCTGTGAATGCCGTTCTAGGCACACCACCCCCGGACATTGACGAGACGGAGCTTCATCTGCCTCGGGAGACGCGCACCACACTTGCACAACTTCGCTCCGGCTACTGCAGCAGGTTAAACTCCTACCTGAGTAGGCTGAATGAGGATGTGCCTAATGAATGTCCGGCATGCGGAGAGACCCCAC